ACAACACAGAAAAATTTCTAACCGTTTGTCCCAGTGCGGTGGGGGCACTGAAAAGGCACCTGAAACTCTAAAATGCAATAGGATATTGCCAGAAGAGCAAGGGAAGCATGAACATCCTTGTACAAGATTTTGTTTGGAATAAAACGCCTGATTCTCATCCATCACATTGAAGAAAGCTGGATTCTTAATGAAGCGGGTACAGAAAAGGGCTGCTAAAATGAAGAGGAGACTGGAGAGCCTTTCATGAAAGGGAAATGGGCATATGTAGCTCGTTTAGCCTAGCAAGATGCAGTTTAATTACTCTTTGTAAATACATCAGTTAGGGGAAATATTAAAGGTAGGCAATCTTGGCATATGAGCAAGTGGATATAAATTGGCCATGAATAATTTAGACTACCAATTAGGTGTCCCTTATCCACCCGCATAGTAAGGGTGTAAAAATTATAGGGACAAAACCATATCTAGTTTTAATGTGAAGCTCACAAAATATATTAAATGGATTATGTGATCTAGTTGCCTGGAGTACCTGGGGACTGGATTTGATAACCCAGAAAGTCCTGCCAGTCCTATGTCTTAGTATATTCCTATATCTTAGCAAGTTTCTATTATAGTGAGCTACCACCTCCATCTTATAATCTTATTAGATATTTCAGTACCTAATAATCCCTTCAGTCCTAAGAAACCTTTCTATCCTTCTGAATTAAATTTCAGATAGAACATCCTAACTGTGGATTACAAAGCCATATGTAGGTTTTTTTCTTACTCAAGTAAGTTTGTTGTGGGCTTTATCATAAACAAAGACAAATTTCTTTAGGGACCAAGGGTTCCTTGAAGATAAATTAGAGTGTTTATGGCACAACTGTACTAGCAAATAATGATTTTCTTATTTATTGTGATTGTTTAAATGGCTCCTAATGAAATTGCTGGCCTCATGAAGTGATCATCTTGGAATGACTTTCTCTTCTATGAAAATATTTAAATACAAACGAAGTCTGCCAATATGTTCAATTACAGTCATGCAAGGAACTAAAGGGATTATGTGTACTAGGAGTATATTCATGTGGCTTTCCAGATCAGCTGCTTCTACCAGTGAGGGACTCAAGTAAGCAGAAAAGCCCCAAAGAGAGACTGTTACTGTTGGAAGGGCTTGGGACACGATCATCAGAAAAGCTCACTTGTTTTATTTCTGTAAAACCACAATGCTGATGGCCCTGTAAATAAAAATACATTAACAACATGTCGCTTTTCAAACTAATTGAGATGCAGTGTGAAGATTACTTTTCAGAAATACAATGTTCTTTATGCAGGAGATCATGCTGGGCCCTGCTGCAACAAGAGCCATTGAGATGACACTGTATTTTTTTCTAACATCTGCATTTATTACCAGTGAGGTAGTTTATATGACATTATGAGGTGGCTTCAGACTTGCAAAGCCCTTGAGAATTGAACACCATTGTTCCATGAAAGAAACTCTTCTGCCCAGCATAGGCCCTTATGCCTGAATCAGCAGAGAAGGCTTTTAAGAGAGAAGCAAGGAAATAAACTGGATATTCTGATGATGATTTTTATGACCTTGCTCACACTTCTGCTGATGCTGCGTTAGCAAGAACAGTTTATTCCAGTGAATATAATCTTAGCTCTTGTGATTATGGACACAGGTTTCTCTAAAACCTCTCAAATCAGATCCAATTTTTTTGGAGTGCAGAATTGTTAGAAAGTCACGGGTTCTTAGCCAGCACCATGATTTCAGGAGCCTCATTCAGAGTTTTAAGCACTTGTGCTGAAGCTGGGCTACACTCAACATAAATTCACTGATTCAACATATCTGTTTTTTCATGGGAATTGGCATTACCATCCAAGAAGCAGGAAGCACACTAATGGGTTATCGGTCTAGTTTCCAGCTAAAGCCCCACCTTGTATAATTAATAACTTCAGCTTCAAGCACCAAACTTTAAGAAAGATATAGGAAAAAAAAAAAGGTCTAGAGAAAGGAGCAAGAGATTTCTAGAGATGTTTAGTAAGAAGCGTGGTGTTTTTTGTTTTTTTTTTTTTGTTGTTTTTTTTTTTTTTTAAGATGAAAGGCTTTGGGTTTAATTAGTCTAAATCAGAGAAGGCTTTTATTTTCCCTGTAAAAATGGAGATCTGCAACCCAACATATTCCACAGTTTAATTTGCTGCAAAGAAAACTGAAGCTGAATTTTCTGAATGACCATCTGGGGGTCCTTTCTGACCTCTACCGCCGTGCTTCTGTGACTTTATCACTAAGAAGCACAACTACTGCCAGCTCCTCAGTCTGGCTATCTTTCCCAGGGGAAAACTGATTTAAAAATTTTGTTTAAATCGAGTCGACACACCCTAAGGGTTTGTCTTCCCTACCCTTAGTCATCTAAAACCTAAGCGTATAAATGCGGCTGGATACGTCTGCTCCCCCTGCAGTGACTGAGGAGAAATAGCAACAAAGAGCTGCTTCACAGTGGACAATTAAACCTCGGTGAGATGAATCCCGTCCCAACTTGTCTCCGAGTGTTTGCTGTTGAGTGTTGCCTTCAGCTGGCTGATGACAAATTAGGCAAGCACATGGTTTCATTATTTTGCTGTACTCGTGAAGACGCACCTCGCTGGCATCTCTGAGGAATTTGGCACCACGGGGACTCCTTCGGCACCAGTCCTTGGCGTCCAGCTCTCTCCTCAACCTCTGATGCTGTCCATACCCTGTCTCGTGCTCTTCACCTCCTCACCTCATCTCCTCCTTTTGAAACACCTACATTCCTCCACTTTTGTTTCCCTTGGCACTGACAGGATTTACTTCTTGTGAATCTCAGTTTTATCTCTGGCTGCAGCTGTCACTAATTTATTCACTGTGTGGTGCCCCCCTAATGACGTTTTACTGCTTTTGTGTCTTAGGGGAGTCAGTGTGACAAGGAAAAAAATCTATTTTAAGTGTAACTGGCTTGTTATACATGCAAATTCTTGACTAACAGGTATGATGTAAGTTCACTGTAAAAGCTGTAACCCCACTTCTGACTCTGCCACTACCTCATTCAGTGACCTTGTGCAATTTATTTAACCTTTTGGAGCCAGGTTCACCTAAAAATAATATTATTTTTTTTTCCCTAGGAATGTGTAAGTCTTAACTAATAGACGTGTATATAATTTTTGAAGGCCTGTTTATGTAAATGCAAAATGCTTATCTATTTTCCTTCAAAACATTTACAAAAGGTCAAGAGAATTTTAGGGTTGAAAGATAAACAGTTCAGAAGAACTAGAAAAATTAAAATTACACACGTATGCACTTATCACAAACCTTTAGGCAGCCTCTAATTAAGTAATCACTACTTCTCAGCATTATAGTAGATGCTATCATAAGCTGTTAAATTGTGTAGCAGCTTGTAATACCATGCACTCTGTTTATACAGGATAAGGACTCTTTGGAAATTATTCAGATTAATGTATCATCTTCTGAACATATGCTACAGTTGTGCCTAGTCAGTCAGGATTGAGATGTTCCCATGCTCAGCTCTACAAAAGCCCAACAGGGAACACAGTTTTTTCCTGACAGGCCAAGATACTACCTTGGAGATGCAAAGTTGCTTATTCAAACATGCAGATCCCGGTCCCTTGCGAGGCTGAAGCGAGATTTGTTCGTGGTGCACATCTTGGCAGCTGCCCCCAGCAACCAGCTTTCACTGCGAGAAGGATGCTCAGAAAGGGGTCTTCTCCTGTGGTCTCCAGGGTATCACTTTTTCCTTGAACTTTTACATTCAGACAAAAGCTGACCATCTACAGGTGACCTCTCCTGCACTGGCCCCTCTGCTCGCCTGTGCCTGCCTTCCTCTCCCACGCCTCCGTGCCACCCATGTCTCCTGACCCCCCGCCTCAGCGCTCCCTTGTCTCATCTCAAGTCACCTCTGAAAACAATTTTTCTCTTTTTGCCAGTCTTCCCTCCACCTCTGTTACTCAACTCCAGAGCCATCGTCAACCCTGCACCCCTTGCTGCAGCCTCGTTTGACATGGAGAGCTCAATTCCTCAGCTTGGCTTGAAGTACTGAGGAGAATGCCTGGAGGATGAAACGGCAAAATTAATCTCCAGCAATAGCAAAATAGCAACTTATGCCTGGCTGCAAGATCCAACAGATCATTTTACCACACCTGGGTCACTGGCATGCAGAGACACTATCCAAGGGGTAGGGAGCGAGATGATACCCTGCTAGTATCTGGGGTTGCCGTAAGTGTCCACTTAAAATAGTTTATGCTACTTAGAGAGGACAGACTTGAGGTTGGAGAATGTTAATGTGCTTCAGTGCCGTCCTCCTGATGCTCCTGAGTGAAGGTCGGGAGAGCCCAAAAGTGCAGCGTGAGGTGTTTTACCTCTACCCCAACACTCTTCACGCTACAAGCACTTGGACAGTGAAGTGCTAACAGATGGTAGAAAAAATTAAATGCGCTGGTGAGGAAATAGCCTGCTTTCATTGGAGATTTGAGCCAACAGACTAGAACTGCATGGTACGGTAGGAAAACAGTGAAGTTGGAGCGCAATCCAGGGAGAAAATTATTCTTCTATTGGTAAAGAAAGTACTTTTAAAATAGGGACCTCACTTTGGGATTAGTAGTGAGATTTTTAAACTTCCATTTTTGTACTGTCACTTATTGTTGAGACACGCCCAGCTGATTTGTCTGGAACCGAGTGGCATTGGCCTAGCAGCTGGGGTCCCCTCGCTGCGCTTCTCCTGGCGACAGCGACGCCGCCGCTGCGCGCGCCCCCCCCCCCCCCGGCCGCCGCGTCCGCTGCCCCAGCACAGGCCTCGCTGCACGCACCTCGGCGCCGAGCACGTGCCAAGTTCCGCGCGCGCCCACCGCGGCCGCTGGCATCCGCGCGGATACACCCGCGGGAAAGGGCGCAGGAAACCCCCCAGCGCTCCAGGCGGGCCCCGGCCCCGCCCCCGGCCCCGCCCCCGGCCCCGCCCCCGGCCCCGCCCCCCCGAGCACCGGCGCGCCCGCGCCCGCGTCACGTGAGGGGTGCTCCCCCGCCGGCGGGGCGGACGCGGACGGTACCCACAATGCCTGGCGGTCGCCGCGGCCGCGCGCCGGTGCCGACGCCGCTCCGCTCCGGTGAGCCAGGTAGCTCGCGCCCCGCCCCGCCGTTGCCAGGCGACGCGGCCTGCCCGGGGCCTGGGGCCTGGGGCCTGGGGCCTGTGGCCTGTCCGGGGCCGGCCCGCCCGCCGGCCTCAGGGGACGAGGGGTGCAGGGAGGTGCCGCCGCAGGGCCCTGCGTATGCCCGGTCTCCCGGGGCCGGCGTCCCGGTGGTCGCCTGATTGCCTGCCCGCCCCTTTCAGCTCCAGACCTGGGGGAGGGGGGAGGAGAGGGGCAGCCGGGGGCGCGGGTCTGCTCCGGTGAAAGCGAAGCGACTCTGTCGCCGGTTTCTCCGCCTCCCCCGGCCGCCGCCCAGCCGCCGGGCCGCCGCAGCCACGGGGACGGCGGCATTTGCTCAGCAGCCGGGAGGGATGGAAGGGGGGGGCCGGCCCTGCCCGCTCTGCCACTCGCGGTTCGGCCCGGCAGGCCGGGGGCAGGACCCCGTCCGTGGCAGCTCGGGCCTCCTCCTACGTGTCGTTTCCCCGCTGAAGCCTGTCCTAGCAGGGGTCTGTCGTTCCCCTGCGTGTCTGTATGTAGGCAGCAACGGGTTTGTGTACGGTTTTGCATTCTGAAACGGTGCGAACACGTTCAAGTCAGCAGCCACGTTGCCTCTCCCTGCTCTGGCTGCCATTGCAAACAGTGCAGGTGACGGTGTCGAAGCCGCCACACACACAAGTGGTAGACGAAAGGGTCACGTTCCCAAACTTTAGAATCTAACTTGTTCCGTTCCCTTAGTTTTTCAGAATCTTTATTCTGTTCCCAGCATCTGTTTTCCCTCGGCTTTGTGGAAGGGATTATATGGGCTACTGGTCTAGGATTATTTCCTTGCCTGATCATACCTGATGATGTCAAAGTGGCTTTATTTGTTGTGTCCTTCTGTAGTGCTTTAGTTTGTAATACGGATTTCTGAAGTGTGCTGCAGAGTGGAAAAATTAAGGCTTCTGCCTGCATAACGCAGCTGTCACAACCCTCAAAAGTGGCAGTAGTTGTCCAGCACTGTTATATACGCTTCAGGTAAGCACAGAAACAATACCTGCATTCTGCATCAAGTAGGAGTGCAGCTTGCAACTGGTTTCCAATTTTATATTTTATGGAAGGTTATCATGAGAGGCAGACATCTTGGCAAGAAATGCCTTGATTAAATTGGTGCTGAAGGCCAGCAAGTGCAGGAGGGTAGGCTTGCCTTTACATGAGATCTACTTAGAATTTCTTTAAATTTTTGTGAAGCCTAGACTGTTTTTAAAAAATTGAAGTATCCTGAGCAAAACCATATTCACAGTTCACTTTCAAACAGTTACTTGTAAAAAATAAGTTATGAGAAGATGTCAGATAGATGTAAAACAATTACTGTCAGATCACAAGTTGGAAGTCCAGTTCGTTACAAAAGACTGGAACATATACCGCTTTTTGGGACTTTTCTAGATGTTGCCTCAGGGTCAAGTACCATCATAACACAAAAATGAATAAGATGATAATCGAGTGTGTCCTAAAAAAAAAAAAAAAAAAGTACAATAAAACAGGTTCTGGTTTCCATCATCTGAGATTTCCTGCCCACGGAAGGAAATGAAACTAAAGCCACATGTGATAATTCCTATTTATGAAAGCAGTGGAGGTTGATGTGTATGATAAATTGGACAGCTTTACGGAGGATGGGGTGACAGGGGAGTGACCATTTAACTTGATTCTTCTCTGTCTGAGGCCAGCTTTCACCATGTTCCCCTTTTCCATGAGGTCTGGGAGTCCTCATTTGCAGAGAGCGCTGTTTAGTGCTGGTGTAAGGGGAAATCAATAAAGGTGGGCCAGAAGTAGATGTAAGAATAGCACAAGCATGGAGTGGTACTTCTGTGGTGTACTCTCCCTGTTGGTGATCGTTTGGAGAGCAGAGTCTCTCTGAGCAAAGGGTAGTGTTTTGTTTTTAATAACCCTTGTGGTTTTTCAGTGAACTTTTCCAGTTGCCTCTTGAATTCACATAACATTTTAGCATTGACAGCATCCTGTGACAGGCAGTTCCACTGGCTAACTGCATGCTTTGTGAAGAACCATCTGTGACACCCGTGAGCCTAACACCTCCTGCTTGGATTTGATGCTCCTCAGTTCTGTCATAAAACGAGACAGCGAACCCAATCGCTGTTCGTTTCTTTGGACCTATAATGGATTTATAGACCATTCGTAGTGGAAGTGCAGTCTTTTGTCATCTTCAAGTGTTTGAGGGATATAGAATTTTTGGAGGGAAACCTATGAAATTTTTAATGGTATGGTGAATTACTTCATGCAGTTTCGAATAGATGTTTTAAAAAGACATGTAAAGATAGTTCTAAACCCACTACCATATCTTTAATGTTCTTTCTTCAATCTCTACCTACATATAAGTCTATCAAATTTACCACTTGGATCCTTCTGTAGAGCCTTACTGTTTTGAGAGCTGAGTAAAGTAGCTCTTTCATTTTGAAGATGTAGTAAACTTATTTTCTATATTAATACATTTTCAAGTAGGGCTGAATGTTCCGTTACAGTATATATTACTCATCTCTTTACATATATGTGATATTACACTCAAAGTGATTTTCTTTTATTAGCTTCATTTTTCAGATAGCTTTCTGATTCTGCTCTTAGGAAGTTGAGGAAAAAGCACATACTTGCACTGGGTGGGTTTTCAAGATGATGGTAACAAAACCTGGCTGACTGGTGATCTTAGGACTGTTCATCTAAACACAGTTTTTACTTTGCGTGATTTCATAGTACATTAAGAGAATTGGCAGGTTTTAATGGAGACTTGTATTTTGCTAGGGAGCCTAATTTTTCTAAATGTAAGTAGGAGTCTTGAAGAAAGTAACTGTTGTTTTTTTTCCTAGATTTATGCAAATATTTATTTACATATAGAATAGACATAAAAATTGGACGAATACCTCTAAAGGGGTCTTTATCCTTTACCTTGTCTGTTGTCCATGCATACATGCTGTTGTTAGTGATACTTATGTTCTTTGTCCTTAGTTGTAGGAGTAAAGCAACTATTGTTAGATTGACTATTGAAAAATCTTAATGCTTTGGAAATACAGATGTGGTTGTGTTGTATTATGTTCTTGAAGTGTCCAGGTTTCTGATCAGAGATTATAGATTAATTAAATTTAGTACATGAGGTAAATGATGGGATTCAGAGCCAGAGGTTGCATTACCCCAAGTTACTCATGTACTGTGCAGACAGACAACTTATTTTCCCATTTGAAATGACTGAAGTGATGGGAGCTCATCAACTTCACTTAAAGAACATAAAAACATTTTAATATTTCTATTATTCTAGTTTTCTTTTTACTTGAGTACCTCTTGAGGAATCTCCCTGGGGTGTGTTCAGGCCTTTCCAATAAGCATGCCCTCACAAAAAGAGCTGAAGAATGTTGTTAGCCAGTGAATACATTTATTAACTTTTTCTGTTTGTTCTTATCTCATCAGATAGCTCAACATGAACTTTAACCGTCAAGATCATTTAAAAAGTGGACAGAACAATATTTTTCCTTCTGAGAGCTGGCTAGAGGATTCTGAGTTTCTCCTCCAGTGCTGTCCTATTCATTACCTTTTCCTAAACCAGGACATGGAGCTGTGTTCCTTTCTTCGCATTTAGTGCTAATGAAATTCTTTGCTTCATCAGAGGAAATGCAGATCCATGAAATTACATTGTGCACAAGTAAGTTAGTGTTAATGATGAGAATGTTAAATTTTGCTAGCAATCATACCTTTGTTTAATGTTTATATCGACATAGCTCCCAGAAATCCCTTTCAGGATTGAGTTCCAAGTGGTTGAGGTGTTTATTGTTGGAGAACCATTACAGGTTAAAGCGCCTCTGCAATTTTGTCATGCTCTTGAGCTGCTGCTGTGGTTATATGATTAGCAGCATAGTTAAGAAAATAGGTGCCATGTGCATTCCAAGTAAATTGTACTGCTGAGAGCATGTGTATGAGCTCAAATAGAAGAGATAGGTAAAAGGTTTAATTTCTAGAATGCTTCACTCCAGCAGGCTAATCTAGAGCAAGTCCTAAAGTTGTTTTGTTTTCTGATTTTGCATCCAGCTGATCAAAGCACTTTGTACTATAGGGAATTCTGTAGTGAAGTGCTGAAGTAACAAGTGCACCTGATAAAAGCCCAAAGGTATTCAGCAGGCTACAGGCAGCAGTGGCTTCTGCTGCTGTTATGACTTTGAAAGTCTGATATGCTATATGAGTAAAATACAAGGATATTAATTTGGGATTTGTTTAGCTAATGTGATGCATCTCAGAGCAGGTCGCAGCTTGATTGCTGATGAAGCTGAATTGCTTAGATTGAAGGTTACAACACATTTTCATTGTTTTCATTATTAAGTGTCCCTTTTTAAGGAGTAAATAGCCTTGAAAGACCTGAATATTGACTATTATTCAATAAGTATCCTGATGCATATCTAACCTTTGGGTAGTGGGAAATAAGGGAGGTGGGAGTTCAGAGAGAAAACAGCTATTTCCTCTCTTTTATGAAGAGGCAGTGATATTTTGGGAAAATGTGTATTCCTAACTTCTCAGAATACAGTCCTTCATTTGCTAAGAATGTAAAGCACCCTTAATGACATAGTTTGAAAGGTGCTGTAAACATGTCAGTATTGCGCACGAAAGCATATTTCAGCTGTATTCAGAAATCTGTTTTCTTTTGCAGTTTGTGACTGCATGGAACTTGAGTAGCATCATCTGAGGGAGGCAAAAATCTATTTTTTTCATAGTCTCTTAAATGATAGGTGTATTACATGGTAGGAGTCTGCAGATCAGTGTTAAGAGTTGAGGAAGTGTTTGCTTTTGGCTTCATATAAATTCTAGCAGTTCGCCCACATGTATGAGGACAAATTTGTGTACTGATACATATCAGATAGGTAATCCTTTTAATGCTTGTCTTCCTAAACTTTTGGATATTTTGATACAGCGTAAGGTTTGAAGAACTTGTAGGTTTTAAAAATGTGCCTTCAGTCTTGAAAGACTGTCTGCAGGCTATGCATTTGTACTGCTAAATGCCTGCTATAAATTTTCTCCTTCTGATTGAGAAATGTTTAAATACACAACTTTTTCTTTTTTTTAAAGTGACTCTATTCCACAAAGCTTTAATTCTTATGCTTTAAAAATTAAATACTGTAAAAACACACAGGCTGTGCAGACACCATTTCAACCTGCTCAGTGTTTGTCTGATAGACACATTTTGCAGATTTAAAGAAAATGGAGACCCCAATAAGAAAAAAGATAATTCATGTTTAAGAAATTCTGTTGTGACTTGGGAGAGCTGGATTACATTCCTTGCTGTCCTGATCCTTGATTTTCTGTTTGATAGTACATAAATTGTGTAAGTCTCTGTTTGTCAGGGTACTGAAGTAACACAGACTGTAATTTTTGTCTCACTAAGCAAGAAGACTCACAGCTTGAAGGGTGCAAGAGCTACAGTAGCATAAAGCTAAGTAATAGTGCTTCAATCTCCACATGTATCTCTAGATGAGGATTTATGGCAGTTCAGATAAAAATACTTGAAAACGTGACATTGATGTCAGATGTGCTGCTGCTTTTCGGTTCATGTAGACTCATAGGTCCTATTCAGTTAGACCTCTAATCTGAGTTATAGTTGAAAATCCTCCCTGTGGCCCATTTTAAGCCTGAGCCCAACATACAATTTGGGAAATTTGATTAATTGCAGTTGACTCTTGTTTTTAGCTTTTAGCTTAATTCTGATTCTTCCTGATTTGTGTTTTGTTGTAGGTTGTTGTTAACTCTGTTGGCAATGTCTATGATTTTATCTGCCTCTGTGGTCCGTGTGAGGGATGGACTCCCACTGTCTGCATCTACTGATTATGACCAGAGCACGGGGATGCAAGAATGTAGAAAATATTTTAAAATGCTCTCAAAGAAACTTTCTCAGCTTCCTGATAGATGTACTCTGAAAACTGGGCAGTATAATATAAAGTAAGACTTGACTTTTATATATTTGCAACATTCTGGGTTGTGTCTAAGTTAAAAAGGTAACAGTTCACATTAGAAATGATTAATCAAACCAAGATTAATTCCTGGCAGTATTTACATATCAGAAATTTAAAACTGAGAAATTGTAGAAAGATTTGAAACCTACTCAAACTTTGGAAGTTTTAGTTTGAAACAGACAGTATTTTTATAAATACTGAAGTTTTTGACCTACTAGAAATATTTCTTTAAATTTCAAGGTTATTTCTTACATGAAAATAAGCAGACTTGTTCTTTGTCATGCTAGTTCAACTAGTATTCGTTTTCTCCTTTTAGTCTACAGAAATTTTAAAAAGTACTCAAATATTTTCATAACTCAATATTTCTGAAAACTTGTGGTTAGGACGTTATAGAATTAGGCCCTTTTATTGTACCTTCAGGATTTCTGTTGACTTCAGAGAAAACACACCCTAAAACCCAAGCATAACTCGATAATTATTTCATATGGCACACAGGGAGTGAGGCAGTGGGAAAGGTGGGAAGGTTTTTTCTCTGTGAAGGCAGTATGTGGTAAAGTCTTGAATGGTTGAATGGAGCCTACCTGTCCTACTGCTCCAACCAGCACTTTCACAACAGTGTTTTCTGTTTTCATGCTTTTGTGTTTTGACTTTTTTTAATAGCTATTCCTAAATTTTTTTTAATTAGTCAGTTTGATAGTCTACCTGCATGACAGCACTGATTAAGTAATAATTAAGATGATGTTCTTTTTTCTTCTGTTTGCAGTGTGAAACTTGGATTATCATGAAGTAATTCTCTGAATCTATTGTTTACTCAGAATTTTGCTTTATATGTGACCTTTCTCTTTAGTATTGGTAACTAGGTACAGCTGTGTGTAGTTGGTAATTCAGTTGCACTTTAGCTCGGCTAAATTCTGATTCTAGTTTAGATATGCTGTTTTAAATGAGGTGAGTAATTTCATCCAACCCCCTAGCAAACATGTGGAACTTACAGTGGTAGAAAGTACTCAGCCTTCTCCATCTCCCATTGGTATATGTGAGTTTCCAGCAATTATCAAGCTTAAACCCAGCATGGACTAAATTCTTCTAGTTGATTTTTTTTTTTTCTTGTTTTTTAAAAAAACCTCAGCTATAGTTGCCTTGTAAACTGATCAATTTAAAAGAAACTTAAGAATAAGACATAAGGCTAAGTCAGGACATTTTTTATTACTTTTGTGTTTGATTACTTTTAATAGTGTAAATTACCCCTTGAGATTTTTAAAAAAATTGAATGTGTCATGGAAGTGTGAACTCTATTTAATGATTTGCCTAAATGCAATAGGAATATGTATATTGAAAACTTCCCTTTTTAATTTAATATTTTCTATCTCTGGTCATCCTTGCAACTATATTTGGAGAATGATAAATCCCATATTCTATGGAACTCCCCTCCCTCCCCCAGTCTGAAGATAAGTTTTTGCATTTTGGAGATGCACCACATCACATATTCTGCATTTGAGATGAATGAAAAGAAATTATGGGACAAACATGCTGTGTTTCTGTATCCCAAAAGTTTTATGTTATTTTCTGTTCTATGTATGTGAGAGTGTGTGCATATGTATACGCACACACAGATACATGCACATGTGACACAGCTTCTCATATGATTGTACAATGTGATACTAAAGTAAAACATTGCCTAAGAGTAAATTGGTTTTCTTCTAGAATGGTATTGGACTTTTCAATAAGCATTAATTCCTTTCCTACCCCAGAGCAGTTTTTGCTTTTCTGATTATAGAATATGAAATCAGGCTACTGAAGCAGCCAATTACCTGGATTTAAATTTGAAATTTTGAATTTGTTGTCTCAATTATAGCTTTATAAGTTCTCTGGGAGTAAGCTATATGATGTTGTGCACTGAAAATTATCCCGGTGTCCTGGCTTTCTGCTTCCTGGATGAGCTTCAGAAAGAGTTCATCACTACCTACAATATGATGAAGACAAATACTGCTGTCAGACCATACTGCTTTATAGAGTTTGGTAAGGATCTGACTTTTTTTATCTTGATTCTCATACTAAGACAAATGAGTATTTAAATAGATGTGCAACTTAACACACACAAAACAAAAATGTCCAGGGCAGTTTATATCTGTATTTCAGGTGGATTTAGAATCTGATTTAAATCCCGTTAGAGTCAATAAAGAAATATTTTTATGGGCATTAAATTAGGCTACTAGGGTTTTATCCAAAGTTGTTTATAATCCTTCTGTTCATTCCAGTAGGTCCTGGTTTAAGCCTTGTGTGACCAAATCTGGAGTTCATCTTCTCCTAGTTAATAATACTAGGAGCTGTTTGACTTCATACCTGTTGAAATACTTAACCTGTAAAGGCATTGAGCTTCATACATTTCTAAAGTAAAAGATTACAATTTCATGTTTGCTCTTAGCTGTGTTGTAATTTTTGTTCAGTGCATGAAAGGGAGAGATGTTTATTTATCTTATGATGTAGTGAACCATTTACTCTTCTGTCATGCAAGTTCCAAATACAACTAACCTCATATATACCAGGTAACAGCTGTTATGGATTCCATTAATATCTGTCACTTTAATACTGTATGCTAGGAGGTTATCTTAAATATTCTTATAAAACACATTAAAGCAAAAAGTACTGCAGTTTTAGAAATATAGGGAAAGATATTCCATTTGGTTAATTCCTGTCTATAACTCAGCCAGGCAAGTTTTAACAATTTCTGTATAACATTGTTGTCTTCCTGATGAAGATTGCTCTGAATGTTCTTCTTTTGTTTTCCACCAACACCTTTGTTCAACTGATTACTAAGTTGGAATGCAGGTCTATTACAGTCTTTATATCTGTGTAATACGGTATTAATTTTCTCTGCCTGAATATTTTGCAAGCATGTTTCATACTCAGGTGGGTTTATACTTGAATGCAGGAGTTAGTTTTTTCATAAGGATATTTACTGAAGTAATGGAAAAGCTAGAGTAAGTGCAGTAAATCCATTGTATTAGTAATGCCTCCAGTCTCATGCAGTGAAAAGTCATTTGTTTATTTACAGTTACTAAGTAATTAGATTTCTAGAGCTTTTTTTTTTTTTTATGAAGAATTAAATAGCCCATGAAAACAGAATAACCCTCACAAAACAGAAATAGTATTCCGAAATCCAAGATAAATACAAGCATTTCAAACAACACATTTCAATTTGTGAAGTATGTGATACATAAAGCTACATGGTCTTGGATTATTTAATTAACAAAAGTCCATAAGGATATACCTTTTTATTTTAAATTTTACACAGATAACTTCATTCAGAGGACCAAACAGAGATATAACAACACACGTTCTTTGTCAACAAAGATGAATCTTGCTGACATGCAGACAGAAATCAAACTGAGACCACCTTACCAAATTTCCGTGTCAGAACTTGGTTCAGCTAATGGGTTCTCACATTTATCTGCGGCAGAATATAAGGGTACTGGTAAGATATCTGCAGGTAAGTTTCAGACTTTTGTTTTTGTATCCTTAAATGAGACAGATGCAGGGTAGTAGAATTAATCTTTGATACTTTTTTCTTTAAAAAAAGGTTTTTCACAGTGATGTTCTTAAAGTATAAAGCTGCCATGACCTTATGTGTACTTTAGCTATGCTCAAAGTGCGTATCTTCCCATGGCACTCAGAGAGAAATGGGTCTATTCAATGGACTGCTTTATTGAAGGGAAAAAAAAATGCATGAATATAAGCAAATGAAGATGATTGCTTACCAAGTTGATCTTTCTTTTTCTGACCTTTTAAGATTTATGACAATTTTTATTATTTCTGCCCCATAAGATCCAATGATGCCATAAGCTAAGAGCATAGTGTCAGCAGTTAGAGCAGCAGAAGGGAGAAGCATCAATTTAGGAAGCATCTGTGATGGTGAAAATCCAAAGAGCTTTGCTGGCTAAAAGTTGTACTTTCTAAAATAAGTGCCTTGTATGCAATGTTAATAATAGTATTTTTGTTTATACTTGCCACATTCATTTAAGTAGTCATTAATTTTTTAAAACTAATTTTTTTCATGTGGGAGGTAGATACGGAATTGTGTGGTAGAACTGGGTTAAAGGTTTGTGCTATTAAGTGAATGCTCTGGATCAGTTTTGAGGCCAAACTTTCGATTTTCCCAGCAGGACAGAAAACTTAAAACTTGCCAAGTCCCTGCGCTAATACATGGACTCCACACATGAAACTGACATTAGCTGATTTCAGTCTTCCAAGTTTAGTGGAGGAAAATCATAAATAGAACAAAAGGAAGTGTTTGTTTTAGTTAGTTAATATCTTCCCCTTTTTTTCCAGAAGTATCTCTGTCTATAAGGCTGGTTATCCTGGGCAGACATACATACACTAATGCCATTCACTTCACAGTGTCCAGATGAAAATTACAATTGTAAATCTAAACACTTCTTCCAGTTTTGTAGTAGAATAGAATCAGCTTAGTTTTGTGCAGTTTATATATATACGTATATTAATGGGATAATACAGTGGCAAAGATATCCCAATTACTTTGCTTACTCATAAGGATTCCTCTGGAAGATTGAAAACTACTTTCTACTGAAGATGAAAAACAAACAGAATCACTAGGGTGCCTTATTTGTACTGCTGGCACCATGATCCTGAGAATTCTAGGTACTGTGAGACTGTAGAAGTAGCTTACAATCTCTGTATTTGCAATTTAACAGTATTAGCTACAGATTCTGGAAAATTAATAAAGGAGAAGTGGGAAGATGTTTGAATTGTTTAGAAGAGTGGAATCTTAAACAGCACTGTATATACTTTTAATCATCTACTACTTACATGTGTCGGCTGTTTTCAAAGGTATATAATGCTGTGATACCATTCTTTTGCCACTTCTGATGCATACATCATTGTTACCTCACAATGTTCTAGTGTAATCCTGGCTTTTGGAAAAAGTTATGGTGACAGAAGTGGCAACTGGTTAACTCTTGACAATTGTCTGGATTCAAACTTTCTTCAATTGGAGAAAGAAATAATAATAAGCATGAGAGAATTCAGCCTGTGTCAAAATTGGCTGTATTTTTAAAGTTGTCCATGTAGTGGGAGATGAGATTTTTATCGCTCTTCTGAGTAAAAGTGTTGGAAGATCGTATGGACCTAAATTAAAATGCATAAGGACCATTTCCCTTTTTACTATGAAGTGAAATTAAACAATAATTGGCAGATGATCTTCCAACTTTTTTTTCGCCTACCTCTCCACAACGTGTCTTATAGAAGCAGTTCTGTCGTTGTCTTTTCTTTCCATGTCAACTTTCTTCTGTTTTTTTGTTTTGTTACTCTTTCAGTTACTTTCAACTTTCTTCTTCCTCTGAATTCCATAGATCTCTCTGTTCAGTTATCCACTTCTTTCCTTGAATTGCTGTAGAAACTCACCATCAAAGGGCTGTACGTTATGAGAGGTTTGCACTTTGCTCCTTCTTCAGCTCTTCAGATTTAGATGCTATTGAATAACTGTCTTTTTTAGCAAGTCTGCTAGTAGTTTTTTAATTCTTTACATTCACTGCTTCTCTCCACCCTTGAAAAGAACTTTGGATGTTTGCTACCCACTCAGTTGGCTAGACTTCAAAGTTTCTCCTTTGCTCTAAGGACAAATTCTCACAAAAAGATATGGTTAGCGTAGTGTAATTTCCTGAATATGCTGTCCTGTTAAAAAATATGACTTACTATAAGTGTATTAAGTATGTTAAGTTGCATAGCATGCACACGTAGGAAGTTAGGTAGATGCAAATCTTGTTTTGTTACACAAAGCAGCAGAATTTGATGCATTAGTTTTGGCTATGCTGATGAAGCACTGTCTGTTACTTGCTTATACTTGTAATTCAGTATGTATCCAAGGTCTAGTGCCTAGGCTTCTTATATTGTTAAAGTAATTGAAAATAGGAGCCCTTTTTTCTTTAGTGAAAGTTGTGCTGTGTAGTGAGGAATAGGGGTAATTATTAATATGTGAAGCATAAAGCGTGCAGATTATGAATAGAATTTTGCTTCAAAGGTGAATGTAGGTGTTGGCAGGCATTAGAAATAGGGTGACAGCATGCTGATGTGTGATGTTTTAGGTTAGGATAAGTTTACTGTTTTCTGAGCTTTTTTTTTTTAATGAAAGGACAGTTTTCAAATCAAAGGTAAATTTTTGCCTGATTGTGTATTTATTTTTTAAATAAACATCCTTACAAGTAGTACATTTTCTCACGTTGTGTATTTCCTACATTTTTATTGAAATGCCAACATTTACTTTCAGAAATTGTGCTTTATTTGATCCTTGGCTTGTGTTAGACAGTTTTTGATATGGCAGTCATCATATTTTTAAGATATATGGGTGCATCGACTCAAGGTTAACTGTCCTTTACCCTGCCTTCTCTGACACTCCTTCATTCTTCTGATTTGATTTTATTTTTGTGTATTTAAATGACTCTTGTTGCTTTGATTGTAACAGTAAAATTTATTAAGCCCTGGAGACTTAATGACTTCACTAATGGTATGCAATATCTTTTATTTTTTTTGGATTTGTTTTCATACTTTAATAAGAGAAAAAGCTTAGTATCTTATAATCCTTCATAGACTGTCTTGATTTAGCTGACAAGACTCTTTATTGCCCCCCATGGTTCTCAAAGAAGTGTTTTAAATACTCTTTTAATACATGATGTTTTAAAGTTACCCTGATACATAAGGAAAAGAAGAGTGGCTGGAGAGCTGTGCAGGGAGAGCAGTGAACTAATTTTATCTGCCAGTTAATGAAATGCAATTACTTTTGGCTAAAAGAAGTCGCGTACACCTTCAGCTTTTTTGCCACTCTCTAGATAAGATGGTTTAAAAAAAAAAAAACAGAACAAAAAAACCAGTTAAGAGTCACTGAAAAATAATGGTTCGGTATTCAAATAGCATATCTAACCTTAACTGAGTGATTGCTGGTAGTATTCCGGTAATATGCACTACAGTTAGAAAAGCAATAAGCTCTGAAAGTTAAACACAGATTGTGCTTTTGTTTAAAAAAACCACAACAGATTATACTATTAAGTTCAGCACAAATGAGTTAACTGAACTAATTTTGTGTTTTATTTTTAAGTTATTACACACTTGTAATTAGACAGCCCTGTCTGCTTATCAATGTGAACTAGCTTTTGTCATTTTTTCTTTAGGTTCTCTAGCTCCATAAACTGTTTGGAAAGCTTTTTTCCTGGATCTGTGTAATGCAAACAACTGGGATTGACACCCCTCTCTCTATTAATGTTACAGTTCATTAACCTCATTGTTCACATCTTTACAGTTCGTTGATTTGAACAGAATGATTTAAGTATGGCTCGGTAGTCCTATTGTTTTCCCAGTGTTGCCTAGACTGTTAAGAGTTTTGCATTGTTTTTTCATATTTGCTTTCTGTTACTAATTATGGAAAGGCACAGTAATGAGGAACATACACAGCTGTTACGTACTTGTGACCCCAGAAAAGCCTAAAAGAGTGGGTGTGCATGGAAAAAAAAAGGGTGTTTTAATTTTAATGTGCTTTATAAGAGATTTCTAAGCATTCTTTGGAAGGTCTGTATAAGGTTGTAATATAGATACTAGCTTAGTTTCAGAACTGTCTTTTTATTTGTGTCTTTGATAGCACTCACTGGCTGTATTTTTTAAGGTAGGGAGTTGTAATAGCTTTGCCTCATAGTGTTCCATTCAGCAAACAAGCTAAATCAGTCTCAGTAGCTCTGCATTATTGTTAAAGAAAAGTGGAGGTTGTGAGAGAAGCTCTTAAGTACATGACTTATTAGCTGGCTTGTAATTGTGGACAAATTTCACTAGCAAGTGCATCATTTGCCATTGATTTCCTGGCATGTCTGAGAAGATTTCAGTACCATACTGAATAAACTGAATGTATTGAGTTAAAGACTAAGTATAATAAGACAATTATATATGTGAATTGAAGGAAAGTATGCTTTTTGTTAAAACTTGTATTGAAATATTTAAAATGTTTCTTTTAGAAAAAAGTCTGACATACTGTGGTTTGCTTCAGTGATCTCTTCTTGAGATAGAAACCACTGAAAAATGAGATTACTATCTTACTAAATTTCTAAAGACATTGCTTTGACCTTTGATATTTCTTTTTGATCTTCTTCTTTGCAGCTCCCCATCAGCGTCTGGAACCTGTGACTCTGCCAGGGATTGTCTCATTTGTGCTTAGTCTCTTATGTGGGGCTTTGAATTTAATTCGTGGCTTTCATGCCATAGAAAGTCTTCTCCAGGTATTGTACATGCTTATGAATTATGAGTTATGCATCACAGTAATCATAATATCACCTTAGAAGATGCTTGTTATGTGAACTAAGTCTTGGCAGTTTTATTTTCAGAAATATTGTCTGTGAGGTCAGACCTCTGTTTATGAAACCAATATTGTTTGTGATCCGTGCATCCTTCTTGAGTGTGATGCATCATTCATTGAGGCTGTGAGTTTCAAAAGCAGTAGGAGGTGGGTGGCCGACTCCTTCCCAAAGTACATTGGTAGCAGCGAGTATGTGAACATAATGTTCTGTTTTCTAAATTTATGCCAGGGTATGAGACGTTTAATTTTAATAGATGTTATTTAAAAACACTTGAGAGAAATGATGAACAGCTTTGAAAATCTGGCCAATTTTTTGGGAAGGTCCACAGAGCAGGGATCTTTAAACAGGTTTTGTAAAATTGTTTTTTTAGAAACCTTTCTTAGTTTTTGTTTGTTTTTAATACATATTCTTAAGTACAATGCTTATTTTTTTTGTGTGCTGAACAGATCAATTTAAGGGAAACTGTGAAGTAATTTCTTCTAACCCCCCTCCCCCCCAAGATCACCCCCCTCACCAAACAACCTCCACAACAAACATTTACTTGTTTCTGAACTCTGCTCCGATCCTCTCTATAGCCTTTCAGTTTCTTTCTATTCCGTTTCTCCTGCTAGTTGTACTCTCATTGCTACAATGAAAATAATAGTGGTTAATGATTTCAAGCAATTCAAGTAAATATGCTGGTAGTGCTTGCAAGCACGTACAGAAAGTTCATGTGCGTTACCACAAAAAAAACTTACTTAACATTAAATGGCTCTACTGTTGTGGTGATGGAGGTACAAACTAAAAACCCAGTGAAAATTTTTGAAAGAAAATGAGAATCTTTCTGCTTGGCTAATAGATAATCATCTTATTCAAACATATCTGGACTTTATAACTGCAATGCTTCTGATACTTAATGAATTTTTTTAGGGAAGTAAGGTAAAGATAATGATCTGTATTCCAGTTGTCTTACATAATTATTGATACATGTAAGGATTTCATAAAGCAGTAATGTTTGAGATTACCTTTCTGAACCAATGGTAGATTAACCTATTTGAGTGATGATAGGGCAGCCAATTAATTTTATTATATATGTTATTACATCTGGAGATAATAGATGGCAGTACAGATAGAAGCTATGTTTTTCTTAATTTCTGACAGTGAGGCACACTAAAAATCCATTAAAATTTTTCTTAATTTACTGTATTATGAAAAAATCCACAAGGTTTAGGGAGAAATAATCCAAAACATGACTAACGGAAGTTCTTTTGAGAAGTCATTCAAAAGCTTCTCTGAATTAGTGTTTCCTTTATAATTAGTGTTTTTATTAGGGTGTTGACAAACCTAACAGCCTGTAGCTATACTCCAGCAAATGTGCAGTGGCACCGAGACAGAGATTTAGGTTTAGGAGCATGCTGCATTGTGTAGGTAAGTTTTGTGTGCAGACACACGAACTTTTTTCTAGTCAACACTGTAGATGGAAATGCTTCACACTGAACATACTATGAGCAGAAACAAGGTGTAGTTTTGAATGGACCACCTTCTCAAAATTATATTTACTTTCAAGGAAGAATATTGGCATGACTACCCATTCTTTTTCTGGGAATGTTTTTGTTTGTCCCAGATGTTTTGAAATGCAGTTAGAAGAATCACTGAGCAAGTAAATTTATTCTGCTTAGCTCTATAGAAAATATAACAACCCATTTGAGTAAGTTTTGCTTTGGTTTTTAAACACATAATAGAAAGATCTATCACTTCAAGTAAATTTTCCCATCTTTTCCTTCAGGAGAACTTAATTTTCCAATAATCGCTCTGATAAATTCACGTGCTTTTGTTTGTTCTCCCTGCAGTGAGGGCAGAGCTGCCTGTGTTATTCTCTGTGTAGAATTTTACCACTCTCTAGTGGCCAGTTTGTGTCTTATCCTTTTATCTCGTTTCCATTTTGTGAAGCTGGAGGAGGGCACAATTCTACAAAGTTGATATTAAAGGTAGAGCGTTTAGACTTGAATTTTTAAAGGCATTGGGAAAAGGTAAGTATGCAGTGTTAGAGCTGGACTTCCTTTAGGGCTTTTGAAAATCTCAGCATTAGTTGTCTGTTCTGAATAAACATTTTGGTCAGATTCCAGATCACGGTGTTTGTTTTCCAGGCATATAAGTGATGATTAGTGCTAACTCTTTTGGTTTAGTGTAGTATAGGAATTACTATAAATCTCTGTGAGACGATTTTAACATACAATAATTAATAACTTTCATACTGTAAACGTCTGGTATTTCACTGAAACATTGTAAAACATGCCTTTTTGTTTTATTTTCACAGAATGAAGGTGAAGATTTCAGCTATGTTATTGCATTTTTTCTTGGAACAGCAGCCTGTTTGTACCAGGTGTGTGCTTCTTCTTGTATAATTCACTAGAGTTTAGAAACATTACCTGGTCATGCATAAATGTCATCATGTTTTCTTAAATGTCACAGATACTTGAATAGGGCGATTATGAAAATAATTTATGCCCTGTTTTATTTCATTAATCATAAGCTGTCATACAGTAGATTGATACAAAGATCTTCTGTTTGCTGGCATTTTCCTCCAGTTAGCTGATTAAGAGATTTGGTGTACTTTTCTGTCTGGAGCTTACAATTTATCTCTAAAGTCACAAGCAGTGGAGATTATATAATTTCCTTAAAGTAGTAGTTTCATAGTTCAAGTAAATTTAACCATCTGAACAAATGCCTGACTGCTTCTTTCCTTTGGGATGATTTGAAGTAAATACAGTAATACCTAGGCACTACACCCCAGAATTTTCCTCACTTTGTACAATATTGTGCATCTCCTTCCTTTTCAAAGCTTTCAGCCACTTTCCACTATGTTTCCTTTCTCCTGTCTGATATGTCATGTTGCATTTCATGGCTGTAGTTTTTCCATTTCTGCATCTGAATTTGACTTTCCTATATAATTTGTAGCAAGGTATTCTGGTGCCCATTGGCATTTGTCATTCAGTGACACTGCTGTTATGTTTAGCCATGATGATATTGAGCCATGCTCAATTGCTGTTATTATAATTCTTTTGACTTTTAATCTCTTGCACTTGTGCAGTATGCAGTTTCTACTTGTTTCCACGTGACCATGTCTAGTACAGTGTCAGACCATAAAATAAAATCATGTCTCAGGATTTTGCTTTTACATCAGACTTTTTATCAGTCAGCCTTTTGTCCAGGTTACCTGTCATCTTCATTCTCTAGAATTTATTTCTAGCAAAATGTCGCACTAAAACTTGCATTCTTCACCACTTGTTGACTTTTCATCAGCTTCTGCCTTAAGTAGTTCTTCAGATTGGTGTTATTTTTCCATGCCAACAGTCTGTTCCTTATCAGTTAAGGCAGAGCTGGTCCATTCTTTTTTTTTGTGTGAAAAATACACATTCTTTCCTCCTCTCCTGAATTAGAAGCCTCTTTCTTTATAAAGCATTCATATCTGTGCATTGAGACATAAGGATATATGTCTTTCCCCCACTGTCTGACTTGAACAGAGCTGTTTTAAAGAAGGAATCTGTGCAGCTTGGAATGTAGGCTTTTTCTTAGTATTCAAACCGTATCTGTTGAGACTCTTGCTGTACACCCTCTGGTGTTCATCAAGAGAAACACAGCAGTGTGTTTCTAGTTTCCAAGAAAATATTTGTAACCTAGGTGTGCAGGCAAAAACTGAGATTTACATGGAATATGGTGTTTTAAGCTTGCTGACATGTCTGTTGTTCCTCCATGGTTTCTAGTTTCTTCTGAAGAAGAAAATGTACCACAGTAACAACTGTCTCAATTGTACCTGAATTGCAGAGTGTCGGGAGCTAAGCCTTCAGTCATTTCTTAACATTTATTTAAAAAAAACAAAAAAAAATTAAAATATTATCTGAAGTAGCACAGAGGAATCTTCTACATAAAAGCATGCTTAGTAGTTGCCAGGCTAATGCTTCCCTTTAACAGAAGAAAAAAAAAACCCTTGGGAATTTCATAGCAGCACTTGTTACAGTAAGGTGTTAAAATGACAGTGTTATGGCCTTTTGACTGGTGTTCTGTTTTGTAAGTGGCAAATCTTCTAGCACCTCGAATCTAGACTAATGGAAAGATAAATCTCAGAATTAATTTAAAACAAACCTTCAGTAAATTTCACAGTTATTCAATATCATGTTGCAATAATGTTTCTTAACTTCTCTAATATTTTTGGTTTTTAAACCCTTCATATTTATTAATCATTTTGATGAGGCATATCCTGACTCTTACTTTAATCTTGGAAGCAGTTACACTTTTTCATGTGTTGTCAGTGGAGGCGACAATGCTAGGAAATTATCTGAGTTCTTACGGCTGAGATACTAGTATCAATTAATTGCTTTTTTAGATATGATTTGTAAAACTGTCAGCACAAGTAGGTTGCATTTGCTCCGCTCAGAATGGCCAGGCAAGTTCAGAGGAATTCCATCTAGATTCTGAAACACGCGTATTACTTATCTCTAGTTTTACTTTGCTTTGGAGGAAGGATGTACAAATCTTACTGATACTGTCAGTACTCACATCTCTGAAGTTATTTAGATATCCAGAAATTACAAGTAGTTTTATTAATCTCAGCCACCCTTACAGTGGAAATGCATGCTTTGTAAGAAAGTGGCTGTTTTGAATTGAATATAAAGTAACCTCTGTAAATTGCATTGTTCAGTTGCAAATGTACAATGCTTTGGCCCTTTTTTGAAAAATTAAAAAACATGAAAAAATAAAATAAAAAAAAAAGTAGAATTTCTCTGACTGATAAAACATGGCAAATGCCCAAGAAGAACAGAAATGATACTTAGATAATCTGATGATGTATGCTGTTAAACATGTATGTGAGCATGGTTCTGTATCCACTGGGAACAGATGTAGAATACAAAGTAAACCCAAATTACATTGTTACTTACCTAGAAGCACAGCAAAAACTTCGGTCAGCAGACAGAAATGTCTAGAATCCACAGGAGGAGCAAACAGCTTTTTTTTTTTTGTAGAAGTCAAGGAAGTAGTTTGAACAATAGCAGAAGTAAAAATAATGTCTACGTAAAAGGTATGTCTTAGAGATGAAAACTGAGGCAAGAGACTTGACCAGGTTGCCAGTTGCAGTAGGAAGAAGGCAGGGTTAGGGAACTGTGGGCAGTCCTGACATTCTGTGTTACACCACGGTGTGCAAAAGCTGACCCTTAAAACGTGGTAGAATTACAGTAGAACTGTGTATTTCTCTCCAGATGTGATCCATGGGGCACCAGCTGAAGAAAGGCGGTGGGTATTTGTGGGCCTCTCCACATCTACCAGTTAATCCTCTGCATTAACCTGAGCAGGACACTGGCTTGGTATCTACGGGATTGCCTTGTGCTGAGTGTTCCTGGCTGTAGGGCCCTGGCATTTTCCCTGTCCTTCCCATTGCTTTGCCTTGAAGAAGACTTAAGACTTCCTCTCGTTCCTTCTCTGTTTCTTGGGTGGAACAGAGTATATTTTGACCAGAGATTGCTGGGAACATCCACTTCCCTTTGTCATGGGCCACTCATTATTACTGCAGGTCGTAATCAAATATTATAAGAGAATTGTTCTCAGTGAGGGTTTAATGAAAGCAAAATGTAACCTTGTATTGATGTCGGGTACTTTTCACCCTTCCATGACTGCTAAATTGATACTGTTCTTACATGTTTGATTTTGACTTTTACTTGGTTTTGATTTGTAATTTCTCAATGACTAGGTGGTGTTTCTGCAGTGGAAGTTATTTTCCATGTGGTAATCTGATTTCTTTTTTATTTCCTAACAGTGTTACCTGTTTGTATACTACACAGGCTGGAGAAATGCCAAATCCTTTCTGACTTTTGGGTTAATTTGCCTGTGTAACATGTATCTGTATGAACTGCGCAACCTATGGCAGCTCTTCTTTCATGTGACTGTGGGAGCATTTTCTACCTTACAAATTCGACTGCGACAACCACAGGGAAAGTCCCCTGATTACAATGTGTGACAAGTTCTGGAACATTTAGAGGCAGTCTTGTTCCAACAGTTATTCACTCTCAGGAATGTAAAGCTGTTCTCCAAAAGAAGAAGCTGTCTGGATGGGGTGCTTTTTTTTTTTTTTTTTTTTTTTTTTTTAAAAAAAAAGAAGGACACAAGAGAATATGTGACTAGAAGAGGAAAATGGGTCATATCTATGTGGTGAAATGTATCTAGGGACACCAAGTTTGGGGAATTTGACTGGTGGCATAAAGAAGCTTCATTCAAAATTATGTTAATGGAAGGAATGTATAGAGTATGTGTTCTGCATATCATGCAAACTCTTCACTTCCAAAATCAGTTTTGCCTTTGTGAGGCAGTACGGGATAGGCTAAATAAATAATATTGATGCTATTGCATATTAGCAAACTAGATTTAGAATATGTAAGATACTAAATTTTGGAATGTTTTGTTTCACATTGACATATATGTGAATGTTTTCTTAATTAAAATGTAGCCTGGAAACTCTGTTTCTGGGGATCAGCTTTATGGCACCTGTGGCCCTCTGTCTAGTGCTATAAATACTTTAACATTTTTTCATTTATGATTTCTGTTTAATTATCCCTTGAAAGAGATCTATGTGGACAGCATTTCTTTTTAGTAATTATTCAAAAAGTTCTGCCAATTAACCCAAGATTTTTGGACGCTGTGTTTGAACTCTGGAAAAGGTTGAAAGGAAGTCGATTGGTGAGTAAATGGAGCGACTTGTGCTTGTTGGACTATTGTTCTTCTTTTTATATACTTTTAGAAATGGATGAATAATTAGTTCAAACCTGAGATAAACAACTGGTGACAGGAAAATAATAAATCAGTATGATTAGCTTAAATGAATAAGACCAGGGGTTTTGTTTATTATTCTGGGTTTGTGGGTTAAGTGGTTTTGTACTGGATAGAACCTTCTTGATCTAAATTTGTGTTTAAGAGAACCGTTGTATACTCCTGAAGTTGGTGAATCAACTAGCAAACCCCAAACACATAGAAAATAGAATAGCAACCATGTAGTACCACCATGAGTTACACTGTTTTGTTTGTTTTTTCTTTTTTTTACGATTATATGACATTTATTTATGATGTCTCGTAATGTACAAATAGATAGATATAGATAGTTTTTTATGTGTGACCTGGAATAATGTTCGGGTTCAGTGAAATGCTAAAAAAAAAAAAGAACAAGTTTTAATGTCAGGGAGGTTACCATGCTGTTTGTGTTGTTGGATTTGGGGATTTGCAGCTTTGCTGTCCTATGAAATGTTGAAGTGTTGCTCAAGGCAGCTTTCTTTGGGCACTTCATACCAAAATGTGACGTGTATCAGTAAGTTATTTAATGTCAGGTTATGACCAAGAAGAAAGGAGCTATATATTTTCTTGTCTGTTTAAATAGGTGGTATTAGTTAAGAAAATTAGGCATAATACAACCAGGAAAAGTTAAGAGAATGAAATTGTAATCCAAAGTGAACAGGAACAATATTATATTCTTCATGTGTGTCTCAGACGTGTCTGAGATGAAGACCTTGAAGATACCTTGTTGTGCAGCCTCAAAGATTGGTGTTGGAGGTGATGTGCTTTGCAGTTAAATCTCTGCCCTCACCCGCTTTGGGACAAAGAATAATGCATTCATGAACACGGTCTGCTTTTGTTTCGGGAATCCAGACATTGGGGAAAAGATAAAGAGGAGGACTGGATTGAAGCATACAAGAATTTTAGGAAATATTTACACCATGAATATTTAAAAAATCTAGAACATCAAACAGCCTTTGTTTAGCACTGAGAAGTTTGCTTGTATTAGCATTCGGTGCAGCTTTCTGAACTCTGGACACCAGAAGAGGTCAAAAGTAATCCTTCTCTCTTTTAAGTCAATGATTGATAAATGTAGCTATTCGTGTTTTGGGTGTAAGGACTCTTGTAGACTTTATAAACAAGACAAAACCTGGTTTTATACTTACCTTTTCACCTCCACTGATAGGCAGGGAAGCTATTATGAATGTCTGAAGTACGGCTTAGTTTTTAATTTGGGCTGTTGTGCACATGAAGAAATTTTCGTTGCATTGTTTCTTCAGTTTATATGTTGGCAGAGAGCCTTGTTTTCTCTGAGACACCTTCCCTTCCTGCTATTTCTAAAGATGCATTTTTAAGGAATGAAAACTTCCTTTGTCATAGCATCTGGTGCTGTTATTCCGTTCCAGTGTTGCTGGTGTTAAACTAATTGCTGATTAGCAGGTATAATGAACAAGTCTAACTGTCAGTGTAATAGAAGACGGTTGGGGTTTTGTTTACTTGTTTTTATGGCACCGATAAAAATCCTGTTTCACAATGAAAAGTTAATGAGCATAACTGTTCTTCATTACCTGATATTACTAGGTGCTAAAAACAGGGCTTTTGAAGATACTAGTTTGACTGTAATATTAGAACTTGCTGAAATTTTGTGAGATGAGAAACAAGATACACCAGGCCAAATTGGGGGTGAAAATTTCCTGAAAATTCCCAGGACTTCCCATCTGCTTATAGAAACTTAGCATTTAGAGAAACAGTGAGTGCTTCCCTGCTGATTTTACCAGATACTTGAATTATTAGATTTATGAAGATGAATGTACAAAAGATGACTACTCTCTTGAACAACATGCATTATTTTAGTTGGAGTTGCACAAGGCCATTCATAATTGTTGGATTTTTCTGTGGGATTTAGGAGAAGCAGAGCCCATTTCATGCTGCATTTATAAAGTAAGCCCTCTTTAAGGTTGGAATGAGTCTATCCAACACCCAGAATGCCATATTTGTCTTTGAATAAGGTGTCACTGTTTACATTGAGTTTCAGGAAGAGTTTTCAGGAGAAGTTTGACGTATTTCCACAAGGTATATATCATGCTGATTGAGGTTTGATTACCTCAGAGTCTGCTATTTGGGCTTGTAGAGATTTAATCACATTCTTTCTTGCATATTTTTCTTTAATATCTGAGGTTGTTCATAGTGGTCTGCTCTCTTGTATTCAGTATCTGGGCCAATAGCTGGGTCTAAGAACTTGTCTCATTTGTGAATTGTCAGATTTTGCTAGGAAGTAACTTTTCAGACCCTGGAAAATACGTAGACCCCTTCTTTCACAGTGCCTCATGGAAGACTCACACACACATGGGTATAAGATGAATAAGGATATGTCTTAGAAAGAGAGAGAGGTGTAGGAGAGAATGCAGCCTTCTGTGAGGGAATGTATATATGTGTCACTTGGATTGATTTTTGGCTATATCAAAGCTGGCAGAGAAGTAGATGATGATGGAAACTGGTTTCCTCTGCAGACATTGTGGTTACTTAACGTTCACTCCAGATTCTTTAGTATATTTTAATAGTCTCTTTATCAAAGGACTGAGGAGCATCTGCTTAGGGTTATTACCTCTCAGCCTCCTGCCTTTCATTCCCCATTTCCACTGCAGGTAGTATGGTATGATTGTTTTTTGCTTTCATGGTTTGTATTGGGAAAAGTAGCCCATTAACGTTTATAAACACTAAACTCGGGCTATTTTGAATCGGCTTTTTGTCAGAATAAATATCTTTCTAGGTAAGTGTTACGGCTTGCAAAAATCCATGCTTTCTGAATGGTGTTAATATAAAGGGGTGTATTACAGGAGGGGTTTTTCCCTGGTTGGAGGTAATGGATGAAAAGGGTAGCAGTGGAGAGGTGCTTCAACGGCAGTTCCAGCCCTGTGTTGACAAGAGTCCAGCTGCTCTCTCAACAGGAGTCTGAGGAACCCTGGAGCACCTTGCAGTGTCTGCAGTTCCAGTCATAGCTGGTCAGATACTCCAGGTACTGTTTATTTTGGTAAGGCCAAATGATCTCACAGTGTCTGCACCAGCTGCTTTTACTTAACAAAATTGGGGTTCGTCAGTTTTATGATCAGATTGTTTGCTAATGAACTTCTATGGAGCACTTTTGGCAAGTGGTACGCCCCGTTTGCTATCGTGACTTTATAGAGCTATCCAAAAGTTGTTCAGACGTCTTAGAACATTTATGGAGTCTTTGTTTTCCTGGATGATGTTTTTTTCTTCCTTGGAGGCAAAGCTTCCTGAGACAGGTAGATAACAAGTACATGTTCAGAAGGTTTAAGGTGTGCTTAGCAGGGCTGCATAGGCACTCTATGGGTACCTGGCTCCGGTATGGCATGCTGCAAAGCGCTGACCCGGGCGTCCAGCTCACCTTGCACTAAGAACATGCAAGTGACACAGTAGGATTAGCCCACTAAGCTGTATACCGAGCAGAGTTTAAGAACAAGCCATAGTTGTCAAGCACCATGCAAAGCCTGAAAGAGAACGTGCTCCATCTCTTGTACTGAAGCTGCTGTGGAAGTGCCGTGAGAGGAGGGGGCAAGAACATTATCAGCTGGGTGTTCCTGCACTTGCCTAGTGGAGGGAGTCGTGGTGCCTGCTTTCAACACAAAACGTGACATTGAATAATTCCAGAGCCAGCTCCAGTCTGTATTCTGGCCCTTTCCAGGACACAAAGTGCATCTCTCGTTCTGCAGGCAACTTGAGGTGAGCCTTGTTTCCTAGCAGGAGCTGTGCAGCACCAGGATGGCGCGCTGTGGCTCGCTTGCTGCCGGGGCTCTCTCCCTGTCCCCCAGGCATGGCTGCGCTGGGCTCCTTGCTGACCACGTGAGAAGGAGGTAGGATGTCCCTTGGCCCGTATTTAATTTCAGACTGAATGGCAACAGCCAGTTGTAGGACAGGAGAGCACCAAGCATCCCTGCGTGGTGAGAGCAGGAGATTGTAGGCTCTTACTGCCTCAGTAAAGGAAGGAATCGGAGCCGCTGTCCTGACAGCACGGCGGTGTTGCTGGCAGCGGCTCCGTCCTGGCCTCGGGGTGCACAAGGCTGTTTGGCTGCCACGGAACAGGCGTTTTATGGCTCCTGTTGGAGCTGGGGCTGCACCACGCCAGAAGTAGTTTTCCATTAGGTGGGGAGGCCTCTGGAGCCTCTCAAAGGCACCGTCATGGTGAGGAGCAGCAGCAGCACGTCCGGGAGGGTCTTGTGGTGGAGCACCATGGGCTGCTGTGCTGCCAGGGGGTGGGGGGGTTGGATGATGACACCCACAGACTGGGATGATTATTTTTTGCTTATCTGTAAGTTGCATTTGATAGTTTGTGTATAATGGGCTACTTTGGAAGGAGTGGCTGCCTTTAGGTTGTGATGTGCTCTCACCTCCCCCCATGGTGGAAGGTTTTGTGTCTCTCAGCCTGATCCTGTGGGGCTGCTCGGCAGCAGCGGTACCAGCGCCTGGTTAAGGCGACACAAAGCTGTTTCCAGTAGATGGCAATGGTTATTTGCATTAGAAATTCTGAGTTTAAAGAAACGATCTCTGGGGCCAGCTGCTCACAGGGGAAGCTCACTCTAGCTGTTCTGTGGGGCTTTTAATTCAAAACGGTGCCTGTGCTGTGCAGCTGCCATTCCCACCTAGCTCCCACCTGCTGCCCCCTCTGCTCCTCATCGGCTTTTCCCTGGGCTTTCGCTCGGGGCTGGCACCAGCAGCGCGGCTGCAAAGCTCCGGGGCGGAGCAGGACGGGCGAGGGATGGCAGGTGGGACAGAAATGAAAAAAGACAACCCTGCTTTTTACAGTAAGCTACCTGGCTGCCAGCTGGCAGGGAAGTGCTGCTGCCATCCCCCATCCTGCCTGAAATTCGATGTTTGCAGCCCTGCCCCCTCCTGCCCAGGTGCTTCTGCCTCTTTCAGTTGAAAACCTGGGACAGAGAGCGGCAAGAGACTGGAAATTGAGTTTTTCAGCTTAGAACAGCTGAGCTGCCCTTTTTCAGACTGCAGCCCAAGCTCGCTCTCCCTGCCAGCTCCCAGACTTC